ACAAAATTCGCATCTAATGGAGTAAGTAGAGCCTTTTCAACTAACAATGTTTTAAAGTCGTACAAAGTCGTAAAGTAGCAGAGTCTGTACTAATAATAATTAAATAATTAAAGGAATTTTAGTTTTCAAAACCACTGCAAACATTTGATTCAACATTTTCTGCTATACTTTTGGTTACTACTGTATCAGAAGGTACCGTGCCATCTACAACTGAGGAAGAATCAAATAGCTCACTGAATCGCACTACAACTACATCATTTGAATTAATTAATTTAACTTAAAAATATTACCTCGTAAGAAATAACAAAACAGCGTGTCAAAACTTCCGTTTACGTTAAGAGCAGCAATCACGAGTTACGGTTCAGGCTAAATTTTATTTTTTTATCTATTAGTTAATTCAATTATCGGCAGCGAAGGGGTCATTGGCAATCACAAAATCTCTCTCCTTTTATATTTTCTGTACAAGTTTGATACATTTAATTTACGATACGAAGACCAAGTATGTTGAGATCATGCGCTATAACGTCGTGTCTAAGCCGTCTAAGCCCTCCGGCGTGTTATCAAATAGAATAAGCGCACCGCGGACCAAAGATTATTTAGTAACTAATGGGAAATTAAAACGTAAATGTACGTGAACGTTTCGCACGTGTATAATATAATAATCATGTTGAAGGAAAATATATTTCACTTCTACGTTTTATTTTTGACATGTTCTTATAAATACGCAGACTTTTAGCGACACTTCAAAAGATACGAGATACATTATAGATCAGCTTTGGCCGTCCCAACACATAGCATGTGCTATTGGATTAATATTTGATATTTAAAGAGCATCGATGTTTTTAGAATACAATTATAAACACATAATTATTTATATGTTATAACTCAATATTATCTTTCCAAAAACGATAAATATTTACCGTGTCACATTTAGGTTTCACTTAAGTGTTACTATAATATTCTACCGTTTCGTTGGTCGGATACGAGTTACATTACAGATTTCACGAATAAAAACCAAAAGTCTTCTGATAAATTATGAATACATGAAATGAACTTTTTGCACACCTAACTACTGTCGAATTCGTAGTGTAGCTTTCAAATGATCGAAAAATTCTGTGTAAAATTATAATTTTAATGCAGTCGACGAAGTGAGGCAAAATGTTATACATTTTGTCTCATAATGTTCTCTTTGAACACAGTGGATAATAGTAGGTTCTTCAAACGAAGAATTTTCATCTACTTGTGCGATTCAACATTTCAGAATTTACCACGCGGAAGCGTATAGCTATTTAAAAACACACGTTATCAGTTGAAAACACTGAAATTCGTTTTACAGTTTAGTTATTAAATTATATAGCTAAAATGACGCGATGAACGGAAACCAAATATTCCGCGAATTCCATCGTATTCAAACGGTGACACGCAACAAGAATCGAAGGCGATTCTCAATTTCAGATTAGCAAATAATTGTAACAATCTTTTGTCGGATTATTTTCGCTTACATAAACCACTATGTGTAATTGAAGTTCATGGAAAACCAATCAGTTCCGCCCTCGGCCGGTCAACACGCATCTACAACGAACACCGAGTACTAGCTATTATTTAGCTGTTGGAAATTCATTATAGATATTAAACAGTCGATCGATCGAGAACGCCTGCTCACGCACGAAATTATTTTTTATAGACGAATCTTAAGACGCACCCGCGTACGAAAAAATCTATGTGATATTATTTCCACGTCAGACTTATAAAATGTAAAACAAACCAACTCGTCTGTAACAGTTACGTATTGTGCGCAAGCGATTGAAGATTGTAAAAGATAAAACGATTACAGCCGGGAATCGTGTGACAATTGGTCACGTCAACGGAATAATAACGTGCTGTGCCGTACGTTTATCGATGTCGACATCGAGTATTTGATTGATACTTAGTTAACACGTTTAGCTATCGGTTCACGCAGAGGCGGTTCGATCATGCGTTTTGTGGTTCACGGAACCACCAAACATTTTGGGGTGGATGTCATTTGAACAGGTGGCGGGTACTCGGTCTTGGCATCCGGCAGCGGTTGGTATTATAATAAAATTGGTAATCTAATAAAATCTAGTTAAGTTCTTGTGCCTAATTAGAATTTTCGGTAGGCGGGTGGTCGGTATTGACTGTGCTTGAGCCACTAACTGAAAAATGTCAAACCGCCTACGGGTTCTTGTGCACTGCGGCGAGGCCGCGTTCGAGTGGGAACGATATTTTAAACACGCGTGATCGTAACGATCGATGATAACGGTTGCGCGTCCAACTGCAGTACGGGGATCGATCACCGGACGATCGGATGCCGTTGAACCGTGTGAACCCCGCGGTCTCGTCGCAACTTTATCGTTTTCGCGTTACACTGCCGTTTCGCGGTGTGCGATTTATCATCTACAAACGTGATGTACGATTCGCTCGTTCTCCCGTTTGCTGTTTGTACAGAGTATCGAGAAAAAAAAAAAAAAAAATGAATAAACGAAACCGAAACGTTGGTTTCCACACCACATAATATCGTATTATCATTATAAATTCGACAACACGGAAATTATTTCTATGTTCGTGTTCGCGATCGGTATCATTTTCGCTAGTTTTGTGCGATTAAACACTCGTAAACGCGTTAGCGATGATAAATGATATCAAAGAACAACAAAAACTATACAAACGCCCGCTTCAAGCTATATATATATATATATATATATATAAATAGAATACTAATTTACTAATTAATTTTCGACCAGAACTGCGAAATCACATTTCGTGACGAGACATTCGAGTTCTGTTTTCTCCTCCGGCACAGATGACGTCTATTAACGCTTTGATTCTATCGCATGAAGATAGATTTTTATTTTTTATTTTCGCTTATCCTGAAATGAATAAACGATCTTTAATTTTATAATATAAATATCATTACTATCTCAATATCGATCGTATTTACGTATAACAAGTGTAGGAACGTGAACGGCTTATGACAAACATAATATTTCTGTTCGTTTCCGTCCGTAATCCAAAAGTATATTTCCATTTCCATATTATTGTGCTTTAATACGATTTTCGTTTAATGTTATTAAACGATCTGTAATTTATTTTTTATGCTCAATTCAAAAATAAACCGATTTGTCCTTCGCATTTTCGTGTACTTTGATAAATACAACAATATATCCGCTATATATATATATATATATATATATATAGAAATAAATGTCAAAACATTTATTTTAATTTTATCATTCATCAAGAGGTGAATGTTAGTATTTTTAATTAAATGTTGAACGCTCATTTGTATAGATGCATATAAGTAACCGAGTACATTTTGAATTGATGTAAACAAATGTGTACTTGGTATAAAATAAACGGTAAATATAAAAAATGTGTTCTTGTGATATTAGATTATGGTAAACTATTGTGATTATTATTTTAATAAAACTTTTTTCATAATCAAATATTATAATAGTGCACTATATGTTTTTAATTTCGACCGAAAAAAAAAAATCAACTAAAGAAAAATACAAGATTACGTCATACAAAGAACATTTTATATTATTTAATAATTGTATTGACATTTTTTAAATGTTTATTTGTTATAAACAAGGGTGCCTATCGCATTTTAAGTTAGTTAATTTTTAGATGAGTTAAGAGCAATTTTTCATAAGTATTATACATTTATATTTATTGGATATTCTGTGGTATCTCGTATAGAAAAAAACGAATTAGTATTAAATTATTTTACGGCGATTCCAGACTTTTGACTTCCCCTCTCGGGTTTTTATTTCTCCGGGCACCGTTGATCATAAATAAAACGTCTCACGGTTTTGAGGTGTTCGACTATTGCAGTGAAATAATAATATTAGCAATACCGATATCCATTGCAGCTGCAAACGGTAAAGAAATAATAAAATCAATATAAATATATAAATATCAATATATCATAATACTTGGCTTCGCAAAATAGTTAACTAAGTCCCAATGGGGGAGGGCTAATAACCCCTTAGCCACCCCCTTAAATACACCATTACTGGTGAACTAGCCGCGAGCAATAATAAAAACCACGTGGAATTCAATCGTTAACTAATTGGTTACCGAGCGAGTAAAACGTTTTGCGTTGTCCGCTTCTGAAATAGTCAACCAGCAGTTTTTGAACTCGCTCAACGTAAACGAGGCTTTTCGAATGGAATTTTAACGCGGACCGGTCGCACTAACAAATACAACAACACTCCAGGCCAAGCATTTATTTATTCGGTTAAACGCACTAACCGTTTGTTTATTTGTTCATAAACTAATTTATGAGCGTTAACCATTTGATCGTGTATAATTTTTTTTTTTTTTTGAATCCAATAAATGATTCTTATCCGGAAAGTGGATTCTACAAGACATCCGTGCAAGTTCGACGGTACCAGACCGAGCATCGGAATACAACGTACATATTCCGTCGCACCGAGTTACGGTTGAAGTACATATTATTTAATACGTCGTTTATCACGTGGGCGCAGGTGCGCCGTTCCTTTAGCATCGAAGACCGTTCGAACGGAGACCGTATAAAAACAAAAGACAAACGACGTCTGGGTCGGAAAATAAATAAAATTACGAACGCGTACACCGATGCACGTGCGGGCCACCACGCTTCGCGCGTCACGTAGGGTTTTCGGCACGTTTTTCCGGTAAGTGTTTACGTACGTATTGAATTGTGTACAAATAGTTAGGCGCCCGTGTGTTTGCGCTTTTTCCGTGCCCTTAAATTCAACGATGTGTTCGAAGGGTATCGTTAGCTGCGTCGTTTCGAGTTTGGTTTCCGTGCATATTTGTACGCGGTACACTAAACATCGGCACGTGCGTGTTAATACGAGTGGTAAAAAAAAAAAAAAACCCCCGAACCCGGGACGGCGTTGTTTGTTTTTAAATGTTTTCGGAGCGCGCCGCGGAAGTAACAAAGCGTACGCAGCAATAATAATAATAATAATAATAATATAGTAAGTGCTCACCCCAAATTTCTCCGACGATCTCGATCCCTCGCTAATTTGGCCCTCCGCCTCAGACAGCATATTACCATCAGGGCCAACAGCGGGAAACCCAAAATGCATGACACCATGGGTATGATTATCTTCTCCGGCGTCACTGAAACAACAGCGCGGGCATATTTGCATATGATTATGTTTGCCAGCCTTTGGATTTTTCATTAAAACCTTACCCGTCGGGTAAATAATTATGGTGGTGAACTTTTTGTTCTGCTGATCTATTGCAGCCGGCAGCCCGGGATCACTTTGACTCGTCGACATTTCAACACCAGGCTATGGCTTATTAATTCAAATAAGAATTCCTGAAACAATTCATTACGCTGTTATTACGAGACCACGCGTGTGTATGCATTTATTATGCTATGCGATTCGTTTTGATACCATTTACGGATTGGCGTTTTCGTCGAATCTATTTCACATCATACTTAAATATTTAAACAAAGCATTTCAGATACACATACGTGACACTATTCTTCCTCGACTACCCGAAAACATTGCCCTTCGACCACGGTTTACATACATTGTATACAATCTATTTGAATCTTAAAAGTAATACGATATAATTTCTCAGTGGTTTGCAGTTCAACACGTTATTATATAATCAATTTATCGGGCGATTTCAATGAATGAATTAATATTTTTAAAAAGACGAAAAAAAACCATATTTCTAAATATCGGGACGAATCCATTAAATGTAAATGTATAGCAGAGGTTTTTTTGTTTTTTTAGAGAGAAAACAACAACATTATTCGTGACCCATTGTTTATTTTCCTAACAATAATAGATTTAAAGTTATTTAATACGTAAAAATCTGAACAATCTTCAATTTTATGTTGGGTTATAAAAATTATTGAAATAAGTTATCGAAAAAATAAGTAGACATCATCATGGACAGTATTATTTTCTTTAAAAAAAAAAAAAAAAAATATATATCCTCTACTATGCATTTTCGCTTAATGGTATTTTTCCTGCTTAAAAATCGTAAAGAAATGATTATTCTATTGACCGATCAATATCGAACACGGTTATTATCACTCGCGTGTACACGCTTTTATCGTTCGTATCGTTGACGATCATAGGCGTACGCAGACAATACTCGCAGGTGGTGCATTCCTATTTTACTATTTACCACTAATATTTTTGCCATCATCTAAAATGTTTTCCCATATAAAATATTAGAAATATTTGGCATTGTTTAACTTAAAATAATTTTTTTTTATCAATTGTATAATCATTACCATTTACCTTAAAAAGAATACGAAATAACCAAACATTTATTAATTATTTATTTTCTCATAATATAATATTTATGAAGAACATGCATTTTCACTTAATATCTATATGAAAATTAAAGTTCAAGACGACGTATGGCTGGAGTTAAAGATTTAAATTCTTCAATGATATCTTCAAAATTTAAATTTGTAGCCATTTCTTGCTCTACAAATATCATTAATAAATACTCAAGACGTTCTTGTGACATCTGACTCCTTAATTTATTTTTGACCAAACTTAATTTTGAAAAGGCTCTTTCACAGCTACAACATGTAACCGGAATTGTTACAAAGAGCGATAATGTTTTAAAAATGTTTGTTAAAAAATTGTTTCTACAACAAACACCAGGCCGTAAAGCCGCACTGCCGCAGGTGGTACGCTTGCATACCCCGCACCACCCGTGCGCACGCCTATGTTGACGATCACGTCATCTTAACAACGTTTTGTTCTCGACGTGATCAACTGTAATCTATAATATACAAATAATATACAATATAACGGTTGAATGATACAAATAATAATGACGGTGAGCTACGAGTAAAACGTGACAAATAAACACGTGCATATACCTAAGAATGTAAATCACGAAATTTTATGCAATGAAAATAATAATAGTTAATATACAGTTCAATAATTACAAAAATTATTTCCCTCGCATCATTCAAAAGAATAACAAGTAAATGAATAGTAAAAATAAAAAAATTAAAATTAAAAAATCCCCGAGTGATAAAGGACTTAAACGATTTATAGCACAATAATACGTTATAAATCGTAAAATGTAAGTTTTTATAGGTTTGTATAAGCAATAACTTATATTTTATACGATGTAAAAGCGTTTTTTGACATCATAGCGAAATTTCTATTCGGGCTTCCAGAATTTATAATACAAAACCGTTGTGGCCAAAGTCAATCCTTTTATTATGCTGCGTTTGTGGAAATGGTTAAGCGGGTGAAACAACCACCAAAGCCGAAACTAATGAAAATATATTACCTAAACACTACACACCGCTGCGGTGTCCGTCGGCAACTGAACCACGCTTATAACGTTTTACTGCTTTTTCGATTTATGTCAAAATGTTACCCTTAAGTCCGCGCATCGGAGATGCACACGATCCCAATAACTCGCCCCTCCCCACATCGCCGTCATGTATATTAATATAATACGTCGTTTGAAACGGTTTTAATTAAATACCGAAGTCGCGCACACGCGTTGAAAGCCAACTACAATTACAATTTGTACACAACAAGATTGACACCGACTGTTTTAATGTGCCGTCATGTCAACAATATAAAGATATACTATATAAGGTTGGTTTGTTAGTAATTAGTTGTACTCGTACGTAACAGTGATCGGTTCACGAGTGGGACGAGGGTTTTTCCGTGTCCTCGTGCTGCTCGTAAACGTACACCCCATGCATGAATACGTTTAGCAAGATTAGAAAAAAACCTTTGCGCAACGGTAATCCGTTTAAAAATGGTTTAGAATCGAATGTTGTGGTTCGCATTGGTTTTGTCTCGTTTCATTTCAATGTAATGAACAGAAAAAATAAAAAAATAATATCATTAAAATCGTTATTACCGCGATCAGATTAGGGCATTATTCGAATTAAATTTCGTTTAGATTCGAATAAACTACTGTTCGGATGATTTTTTCATATTTATTCGAATACAAATGTATTCAAATCATTTTCGGTTATTTCATCTGGGTAAGGAAATCGTTATTGGTTGGTAATTCAAAACGTACACACGTTAAAACTATCAATATCGACATCAATATTATTGTGTGAAGGTTCTATATTTGAACTTATAGATATACGAGTTAGGTATACTTAGGTATACGAGTTACAACTTACATATGAAGATACGATGATATCCAATGTAGTGTTATGTTATGTGCATGTGCTAATACCCTGTAGAGAAATACAATGTTGTAGTTCGCAGTGCGGAACACTAAGCCTATGTCGCACCTCGCGTTCGTGGTATGCTTATATTAAAATGAATATGAATCGTTCTATAGTACATTTATGTACTTATTGTATGAGCATTATGTTTGAAAATAATTCGAAGAATTACGATCGAAAATTATTCCAATAATACTGTTTTGAAATTGGTTTTCATTGAAATTGAAAAAATACTTATTCATTTGAATAATTATCCATATAAAATGTCGCACTACACCGGAACGAGTACTTTTCACGTTAAAAAATGAATAAAATCTTTCTACGGTTATTCGATTACAGATGATACTTTTTATATTATTAAATGTGATAAAATCGAATGGTATACAATTTGTATGTTGCACGTGTGTTATAGATTTTTTGATCAAGCACAATAAATTTATTTGATTAAAGTTCAATTTAATACGTAGGTACCATCAACACATTATATTTCGAATGTTCATTACGAGTCGGTATGTTGCATAATATTTAGTTACGGATAAACGTACAGTGATAAGATTTTGACGTTCAAATGTATTCTATGATTAACGAAAACGGACATTTTTTATTTGAGCGGTGAAAATCGTAGTTATTACATTTGTAAAAAAATGTTACCGAGTATTTCATATGCTTTCACGTTGTATTGCGAAATAATCTTGTATTTCAAACTTCCCATACTTCGTGATCCAGTCATGAGCATATTTTCGAGCGAAGAAAATCCTTAGTTCTCGGAAGACGTTTGAATAAAGGAAAATGTAATATTAACAAAATAATTTATTAAACCATTGCAACCTATTTAAGTAGAAATACTACCCGATGTCTGGTAGGGAATTATAAATAAAAGAAACATTTATTTCTTATGCATGTATAAAGTTTTTCCACATATTATAGAATACGTCCGTACGGAAAATAATCTTAAATTAAACGAAAATATAAATACTCAAAGGTATATACATAATACGCTGCAGGGCATATATGATATTGCGCGAACGGTAAATATAATTTTGTGTCACATTTAATATATTTACATATATATCACGTTTACTGATCGAAGAATTTGCGGGGTATGATCGAATAAAAATAAAAAAAGATATAGAAAGTATCACGGCCAGTAATATTTGAATAGGAAAAAGAAAATGTTATTTGCAAATACACGGTAGTATTAAATATGAGTGTTCTTTAAAGTGTGCACGTATTGAGCGAGAAATAATAAACTTAATACAAATAGTATAATGTTTGTTTGGGCCTAAAATATCGGTGCGACGACGTTACATATTTAGCCCACACATATTTGTTTTCGAGAACAATGCTTTTTTTTTCTTTGAGATGGTCTATATTTTCCTGATAGCAATGGGTTCAGGGATATCAAAAGTGTGCTTGTTTACTCACAGAAATAATTTTCAAGTGAAGAGGAAATATTGTTATAGGGTTAACTAGATCTCCAATTATTCTCGTAATCATATTTCGATTTCTCTCATTAAAAAAAAAAATAATAATAATAATCGATTAACCGTCTACAGAAGGCGTGGAAAAATATATATTTAAATTAAAAGGTTATAAAAATACGGTTTTCGTCGTCAAATATCGAACATCGCATTTCCATCGAATTCCGCTTAATCGGATCGACATTTGAAACGTTGCGTTGCGGAGAGTCTACGGTGCTCTCGCGGATTCGTTAAAGTTCTTCGTGCAACCCCCCAACGCGAAAGTTCACCCACCCCCTAGATAACCCTCAGATCACTGTTAATATTGTTATGATATCCGTCGTACGGACAGTGACTCCGCAAACACAACAATAGACCGTTGATATTTAAAAAAAATTAAAAAAAAAACCTCCCTCTTGAACTGCGCGAAGTGAAAAAACACTTTGTGCGCGCCATACTCGTTACGTCATGATCGTATCCGGAAACGAACAAAAACCACATGTGGACCACAGGCACAGTAAAAGATTTCGCGGTGCAAATGTCGGCCGTTCCGTGTAGTCGTTCGACACACCGGTAAGTTTTCCAAAGGTTATCGTTCAACTAACCACCGCGCAAGAAAACCGAACGAAACGCATCCGGAGACGTTTGAAACGCCGTTTTTACCGAAAT